TCTCTGCAAAAGTAGACCCTTACACATAGTTACACTGTGTAATTGTACGCTTGCATGGTCAGTTCATTACCGCTTTTTGTCCTTTTTTTACCCCTTTCACTGTCTGCATTTCTCAGATCTGCTCTCGCACCCAGGGAACAGAGGCGATGATATCACATACAAAGATTTCCTCATGCATGTCTGAATGCAACACTCACCTACGCTGCCCGCAAAGGGTTTCTTAAGCTATCACAAACCTTTAAAGCTTACATAGAGGGAAGAGAAAAGGATTTCATGATTCATTTTGCTCCCCCTTATTATTTATTTATTTTCCTGCACACAGCGCATTACCTATTCTCTTTTCTTTCCCAATGCTACTGATGATTTGCTTCACTCATGTTGCATAGACTGTCCCATACATCATCTTACACATAGGCAAATTACATTTAACTATACATGGTTATAATGCTTCCATGTCGTCTGGTGCAAGGTTAATTTCAGTATCTTCCGTCATTTCAGTACGACTGTATTATTTTCAATGTTGTTTATGAAACCGTTTGTCTTTCATCAGCCTATTGTGCAACATCAGTTTTGTTTGTTTTTTTATATGCATGCATACAAACCGATCCTGTCGCCTAGGCCCTTTGCAAAGGTTCCCAAGTTTTCTCTTTCAACTAGTTATGCCTCTGTGTAGGCAAATGTGACATTATATTCTAATTAGTAGAGACGTACTGGATACTGTACTCACCAAGTAACCCAGGTGCTCCAAAGCCAGGGCTGGCCAGTCCTCCCTTCCAAGATATGCAGAATAAATAACGGTTCGGGCACTCTGATATAACAGAAATAGCAGCTTTATTGGGGCAAAAGAAGCAACGTTTTGACCCTACCGGGTCTTTATCAACCTGTTATATTGATTAATTGGCCATATAAATGCTCATATCTTGCATGCTATAATAAAATACTATTTAACACAAAATTAACACATATTGTGTCACCCACAGGGTATGTAGATCATTAAGACCATGAATAGAATTAACAAGCGAATTTCACATTTTAGACCAAAACAGGAACACTGGAAGTTAAAATTAATTTAACTAATCGGCACCTTTTCCAAAATTCTGTAATTTTAGTCTTTAATCCCCAAACAGATATACAGATACAGAGAGACTGTGACAGTCTGAGCAAAACGTAATCTGAAACTGACGCAGAGAGACAGGCGGAAGATCCAATGTATTTAGGATGTACAGTAAGACTGCATCATTTGTCACCCACAGATACCAAAATGAACATATATTTTTTCACCCACAGGGTATACTCCAAAATTACTGTTTTTAATGTTGTTTTGTATACTTTTTTATTATTATTAATTTATCAACTTTCCAAATAATCTGTTTAGTGAATATTCAACTGTTACAGTTTTTTTCAAAATCTACCTGCCTAGTTGGAGTTCACATTAAAGAATGTCAAACTCTTACACATCTGTTTAGATATATTCAATTTAATGATAGTATATTGTATGTACATTGCAGCAAAGAGGTTTCTATGCAGCATTAAAATTACAGTGTATATATAGTGTGCAGTTTCGGAAACACTATAAAATGTCATATACGTCACATCATGCAAAAGAGTGCAGCATAAAAGTAAAGTGCAAGTACAATAATAACCACTAGGGGTCACTAAAAGCATTTTGTTTATTGCTATTAACGACCCACTTTATGTGAGAAAATTGTTGAAAATTGTATCTGTCTTTGTTTAAAGAGACCTGTCCTGGTAAAATAAAATGTTATCTATACACTGTGCTAGCATAGGAGGAGGGTGTTACAAGTTTCATTGGTGGGTGTTATCTTTGTGATACACTTTGCATTCAATGTATTTGGAGATGATGTATGCTTTAGGCTGAAATTAATATAAATATACATAATATTAATTATTACACATTTTCCATCAAATCTGTTATAATCTGGTAGTAGTGTTTTGCTATAAATGTGGCTGAATGTAAAATTATCTTCCAATCCATTGTAAATGTCTGATTATATGCAGTCACTTTTCATGTATAAAAGTGTAATAATTTTTTTATCATTACCAGCCAGGTTCAATCTTTAAAGTGCTCGTTACAGCTATTGTAACATCATAAACAAAAACGAACGGTATGGAGGTTGGGTGGTGAGGAGAAATCTTCATACTACTGATATGCACTTGGGCTAACACAGGATCTGAACCTTTGTGATAACTCTATCTGAGCAGAAGTAGCTTCAATAGCGAGGAAAAATATACACCCAAAAACGTGCACTGAAGTATACAATTAAATTATTTTCTTTAATTAAAATCTCGGCTGAGGGGGCGGGACCTGGCACCCAAGATGGCCAGACGTGTATCTCTCTAGCTCCGGCTAACTTATGCTACAAATGGACAAATAACCCATTAAATCTTGCTGGAAACCGCTTCTTGCTATTCAGGGGTCACCTTTAACAAAAGCTGTTATGTATTGAGCCAGAACCAGGATGTCCTGACAGACAAGTACAGTGTGAACTCTGAGGCCTACTGCAACCGATGATCCTGTAGTTGGGAGAGGCAGCCGATCTCCCGGCTCTGGGCTCCTATCAGACAGCAGACCCCTGGACTGGTGGGGGATATCCCGGGCCCCACTGGGTACACTAACCTCTCTACTAAATCGTGTCAGCCGCAGTGTGGTGCACCTAACATGGCTGCAACGCTGATGTCTCAACAAAACTCCACAACCCTGGAGGGCCGGTCAAGGCAAGAAATGTTTGAAGCAAAATTCAAAAAGAAATGCCAGAATGGCACCACTTATCCACCCACCCCCGCTGTCCATGTTGAGTGCAGCTCAGGCAGCTGTTACGGCCCCTCAATCTTCCTCCAAGCCAGGGGCCCGACTGAAGCAATATCCAGCCTGCCGTCCACATACCCAGAGGAGAGTCCGGATCTCAGAGCTCCTACGGGACTATGATCCCGCTGCACGGAGACAGAGGATTCTTGGACATCAGCTACGACCTTGAACAAAGTCTGCCACTAAACCGCAATGCTACACTCCAGCATGGTCCATCAGAGGGGGCCGAGTCAACAAGCTCAACTGGAGCTGTCAGAGGGTCCCCGCTCAGCAAGGCCTATGGCGTGCATGGAAGCAATCCAGGAGAGCTGTTCCTGCCGCTGGACACTGCCTGTCTGGAAGCATGAATTGGAAGAACAGCACCTCCTGAAGCAAGAGGGGTCCACCCGAGCAATCAGATGATCTTTTGCTCCTGCAGGGAGCAGGCCTCCCATTAACAGGCATAGGCTGAGTGGGCATATGACAGAACGGCCATGTGTAGTTTTTGTTTGTTTATTTTCTGTTGTCCAGTTAACTTTGCAGTATGCTGACTCTTATCTGCTATAATGCATTAAGTGTTATACATGGCCTCCTATCAAGCACCTTTCATAGCCCAGTGATTTCTATATCTAGAACTTCTACACTGTTCCCTTTTACAACTCATGCATTTCTCTCTGTTAACTCTATATAGAGCTGTGTTACTGCTGACTTTTTTATTCCTTTACAAAACAAATACAGTGCAGTCCTGATGACATCTCAAGCAATGTTTCACCTTTCCCTTGCCTTTTATAGTCATGTGATATGTCTACATAGTCTTGTTTGTACCTTGCACTACAAAAATAAAGAATTTTAAAAAAGAAAATCTCGGCTGAGAATGTACATCAGATGGGACAGCACAACTACAATGATGTTTACATGGTTTGAGCCTCAAGGGCATTCCTCCTCGCTATAGGAGTCGCATCTGATCTGATCAATGTGCGACAGATCTTTACATATGAGGTGGCAGCAAGATTCTCCTTACAAAATAGGAATTTTCAGTGATTTTCAGTCGGCTTGACTTTGAGGTGAGACACAACACATTTGGTTGTTTAACCCCTTAAGGACACATGATGGAAATATTGTGTCATGATTCCCTTTTATTCCAGAAGTTGTGTCCTTAAGGGGTTAAGGAAACATCTGTTTAGAGAAATATTGGGAGGCTGGTGTGCATGCGCATCAAATCGCCAAGCTACGCCAATGAAATGCTCCCTAGGAACTTTATAAATGCAAGTAATGATAATAATAATAATAATTACTGGAGATGGAGCTAATTTTGAACAGGACATGGCATCTCTTGGAGTTAAATGGAAAGAAAAAGGGGTACTGGACAAATACCCATCCAAATTTGCATTTTTTTTTTTTTTTGTATCTTATTTGTTAATGCATCTTATTTACAATTCATTTACCAACTTTTTAAATGCTCTGTTTAGTGAGATTTCAAATGGAACAGTTTGTTTTTAACTCGGACAATATTCTGAGTGTGTGTGTGTTTCTGCATGTGGAGTGTAAAAAAAATGTGTGACATCATAAACATGTGTGACATCATTAATTTCCATGTTAGTAGTGGAAAGCAAATTATATCAGCAAAGAACAGTTAGTCAGGATGTAATGTAGTAGAGATGATGTTTTTACAGGTAGGGGATGTTTATAGAGAGTGAATTTGCATTGTATATTGTTGCATGAAATGGCCAGGAAATGAATGCTCAGATAGTGACTGCACTAGAAATGTTTGCATTTATTCACTAAACATAGTATTGTAATGAACTGATAACTAAAGAGCTACATTTAGACTATAATAACCAGACTTTGACTATCGCCGAATTGAAGAATGTTTCTAAATCAGCACCTTTTCTAAAATTCTGCAATTTTAGTTTTTGGTCCACTATAATTCAGTGTTTAGTGAATACACCCCAAAAGAGTCAGATATACAGTTTCAGAGAGACTGTGAATATATAATTTTTCAGTTACCATAAAATTTCACATTTTAAGCCAAAACAAATATACCTGAAAAATAATCAAATTATTTTCTTCAACTTGTTTGTTTTTGCATCTTATTCAATTTTAATTTACCCGCTTTTTAAATGTTCTGTTTAGTGATTTTTCAACTGGAACAGTCTATTTCTAACTCAGAATTCTCAGTGTGTGTTTTTATATGGGCATTCTAACACTAGACTAAAACAAGACTGCTGAAAGCCTGGAATGTGCTGAAAATCTATCAGCTTCGTCCATGACATCATAAACATGTATGACATCATAAACATGTGGGACATCATTGAGTTCCATGTGAGTAGTGGAAAAGACAATTATACGATTAAAGGTACAGTCAGTCAGCATGTAATATGATATAGAGATGATGTTTTTAGAGGTATGTGATATTGACAGAGACTGAACTTTCACCTGTGTAACATTGCATGATTTGGTCACAAAATGTATCAATGAATAGTTTAGGATAGATTTAATTCGATATTTGTTATTTATTCACTAAAGATGTTATTGTAATGAACCAATAACTGAAGAGCTACACTTATACTATAATAGCCAGACTGATTATCGCTGAACTGGAGACTGATTCCAAATCGGCACCTTTTTACAAAATTCTGTCATTTTAGTTTTCAATCCCCTATAATTCAGTGTTTAGTAAATACACCCCAGAAAGACAGATATACAGATACAGAGAGACTGTGACAGTCTGAGCAAAACATAATCTGAAATTGACACAGAGAGACAGGCGGAAGATACAATGTATTAGTGTATTTAGGATGTACAGTAAGACTGCATCATTTGTCACCCACAGATACCCAAATGAACACATATTTTGTCACCTATAGGGTGTACTCCAAAATTACTGTTTTTAATGTTATTTCTTTTTGCCTCTTTTATTAAAATTAATTTATCAACTGTCTAAATAATCTGTTTAGTGAGTCTTCAACTGTTACAGTTATTGAACAGCTAAGGAAAGAATTCTCCCCTCCTTGCCTTTCTGTTTCTCAATCACACCTTGATCATGCTTTTCCTACCCTTCAGACATTCTCCCCAGCCACTGACCAAGAGGTGGCTGCTCTTCTTTGCTCCTCTCGCCTCACCACTTGCCCGCTCGATCCTGTCCCATCTCACCTTATCAGATCTCTCTCCACTTGTCTCGTGCCTTCTCTAACACACATCTTCAACTGCTCGCTCTCTTCTGGCATCGTCCCTGCTGACCTTAACATGCCACTGTAGTACCTATACTAAAAAAAACATCCCTCGACCCGTCCACCCCCTCTAACTACCGTCCCATATCCCTGCTCCCTTTTTCCTCAAAGCTTCTGGAAAGACTTGTCTTTACCCGTGTGTCTCATTTCCTCAATTCCAACTCTCTCCTTGACCCCCTTCAATCTGGCTTCCGCCCTCTCCACTCTACAGAGACTGCCCTTATCAAAGTTACTAACGACCTAATCGCAGCTAAATCCAAAGGCCACTACTCCATACTAATTCTTCTTGACCTCTCAGCGGCCTTTGACACCGTTGATCATGCTCTCCTTCTTCAAACTCTGCAATCGCTTGGTCTCTGTGACTCTGTCCTCTCGTGGTTTTCCTCTTATCTCTCCCAACGCTCATTCAGTGTCTCTTTTTCTAATGATACCTCCTCCCCTCGCCCTGTCTCGGTTGGAGTCCCCCAAGGCTCCGTCCTTGGTCCCCTTCTATTTTCTCTTTATACTGCCTCTCTTGGCAAACTTATTACCTCATTTGGATTCCACTACCACCTGTACGCTGATGACACCCAGCTATATCTCTCCTCCCCAGACCTCTCCCCTGCTGTCCTGCAACATGTCACTGCTTGCCTTTCTTCCATCTCTAACTGGATGTCCTCCCGCTTTCTGAAACTCAATCTCTCAAAAACTGAGCTTCTTGTCTTTCCTCCTCCTAATACTGATCCTCCTCTTTCACTCTCCCTTCAAGTTTGTGGTACCAACATCAGCCCATCCTTGCAAGCGCGCTGTCTTGGCGTCATACTTGACTCTGGTCTCACCTTTGAGCCTCACATCCAGCATGTTGCCAAATCCTGTAGATTCCATCTTAAAAACATAGCCCGCATCCGCCCCTTTCTTGCACCAGATACTACCAAGGAGCTTGTCCATGCTCTAATAATTTCACGCATGGATTATTGTAACCCTCTCCTGCTTGTCTTCCCAAAAGCCGTACTGCACCCCTACAGTCTGTAATGAACGCTGCTGCTAGACTGATTTTCCTCTCTAGTCGGTTCTCTCACACCTCACCCCTCTGCCAGTCCTTACATTGGCTTCCTGTGTGCTATAGGAGTCAATTCAAGGCACTAACTCACACCTATAAAGCACTGAACAACTCTAGCCCCTCTTATATCTCCTCACAGATCCATAGGTATGTCCCTTCTCGGTCTCTCCGCTCTGCCCGTGACCACCTCCTGTCCGTTGTCCGCACCCGTACGGCCAACTCGCGCTTGCAGGACTTCTCGCGGGCGGCTCCCTTCCTATGGAATAGCCTGCCTCCGCCATCAGACTCTCCCCTAGTCTTGCATCTTTTAAGAAGTGCCTTAAAACCCATCTCTTTAGGAAAGCTTATGGCCTCCAAGACTAACCCCTACCTCACATACCCGTCTCTTGCCCTCTCCTAAAGGGCAGCCCACCTTATTTGATTGCAAATTCCTGTCCTAATGTGTTTTACACCCCACCTCCTATAGAATGTAAGCTCGATTGAGCAGGGTCCTCTTCAACCTATTGTTCCTGTAAGTCTATTTGTAATTGTCCTATTTATAGTTAAATCCCCTCTCATAATATTGTAAAGCGCTACGGAATCTGTTGGCACTATATAAATGGCAAAAATAATAATAATAATAATTTCTAACTAACAATTCAGCTAACTAGTTGGAGTGCAAATTGAAGAATGTCAAAATCTAACACACCTGTTTAGATATATTCAATGTAATAATGTAGCATTAAAATTACAATGGATACATAGTGTGCAGTTTATGCTTAGCACCATACAAAAGAGTGCAGTATAAAAGTAAAGTGCAATTGCAATAAGAACCACTAGGTGTCACTAGAAGCATTTCGTTTATTGCTATTAATGACCGACGTTATGTGAGAGGTTTGTTTACTTGTGATGCACTATGTGTGCAATGTATTCGGAGGTGATTAAAGGGATTCTCCAGTGCCAGGAAAAAAAAAAACTATTTCCCTGGAACTAGAGAATCCTGGAGTGCCCCCCTCCCTCCTGCCCCCCATCCCATGTTGCTAAAGGGGTTAAAACCCCTTCAGCTACTTACCTGAATCCAGTGCCGATGTCACTCAGTGCTGGGTCAGGCTCCGCCCACGCTCCTCCCCTTGCCGACGTCAGCTGATGGGGGAGACCTAATGCGCATGCGCAGCAATGGCCACGTGCACATTTCCTATGAGAAAAATCTGACTCTGGGGGTCCGTTAGGATGTCCAGCGTCAGATAGCGGACCAAAAGTTTGTTACGAATCCGGACAGCCACAGAGGGCAGACTTAGCGCTGCAATGTAAACATTGCAGTTCTCTGGAACTGCAATGTTTTACATTGCAGCGCTAAGTGCAAAAGGGACAGAGCACCCAGACTACTTCAATTAGTGCCTACAGTGTCCCTTTAAGGCTACCAAAAACCATGTGTGAAAGGTTCACTTTAGACTTAAACTAAAATCATAAATATATATAATAATAATGGTGCAATATTTTACACTTTTTTCATCAAATTTGTTACAATCTGGTAGTTGTTTTTTGAAATAAAAAGAAAAAATGTGTAAAACTGCACTCATAGGTAATCCCACAAAATATACAAGCAAACATCATAGAAAAATTAACATTTATTGACGTGAAAGACAGGTGTACATGGCATGATCTTGGCACAGCAGTCCTCGTGTGCTGTAATGGTCAAAACTTATAGTCTGTCATTAGCATAAAATATAAGTAACATAAGATAAAAAAATTCAAAACCTGTGCATAGGACCACCCACAGCTGCTGAACGAGGGGGAGATCACCAAGAAAGATCACCAAGAAAGCTGACCCCGAAAAAAGGGTAGGTTAGCCCTGGATGCATTTCTCACCCCTCCTGGTGCTTTCTTAACAAACCATTTTATCTATACACCGTGCTAGCAGAGGAGTGTTACAAGTTACATGGGTGGGTGTTATCCTTCTGATACACTTTGTGTTCAATAAATTTGGAGGTAATTTATGCTACCAAAGAAAATTGTGTGAAAGGTTCACTTTACGCTGAAACTAAAATCATAAATATATATAATATTAATGATGTAATATTTTACACATTTTCCATCAAATTTGTAACAATCTATGGTAGTAGTGTATTGGAATAAATGTGTCTGAATGTAATATCATCTTCCAGTTCATTGAAAATGTCTGATTACATGCAGTCACTTGTTTAAAAGTGTAATAATTTTTTTATCATTACCAGCCAGGTTCAATCTTTTACAAGTGCCGGTTACAGTTGTTGTAACATCATAAATAAAAATGGTATGAGGGTTGGGTGGTGAGGAGAAATCTTCATACTACTGATATGCACTTGGGTTAACACAGGATCTGAACCTTTGTGATAACTCTATCTGAACAGAAGTAGCTTCTATAGCAAGGAAAAATATACACCCAAAATAGTGCACTGAAGTATAAAAGCCAATACCTATATTTTCTTCACTTAAAGGTAAACTATAGAGCCAAAAAAACAAAGTTGCCCCCTAACCGGCACGAGTGCAGCAATATCTCAGACGGCATGCTAGACGCTTGGTCAGCATCTCTTGATGGATCTTAGTGGAGTGGGCTGAAGATCGACAGAGGACATTCCCAATCCTTGTCACTCAGTGCTGACAAGTCCTATTACACATATGCCTTTACTATCCTTTCTTTTTTAGTACCCAGCGGTACACAGTTATCTATCTAACTAAATATCTGTCTGTCTGTCTGTCTATCTAACTTTGTCTATCTATTGATAAATGCTATATTTCCATATGTGCACTTGACTAAGACTCTCTGGTTCTATATGTATTTATTTCAAGAATTATAGTAAATCTCACATCGTTCCAAAAAACAAATTGTAATAACTGAGTGCAATTTAAAAAAAACAAAATAGCATTTTGTACATAATTTTACTTTTAATCCTCTGAGCATATTTTTATGTGTTATAGTTTTTTTTTTTTTTCTAAAATGGCAAATTAATTATAGTTGGAGAAACTGCAAAATCTACTTTTCCATCCAGTACATTAGAACACTCCTATTGCATATTACATAGCAATAAATCCATGTAATCAGACTACATTTTGATTGCATGCTGTTTGCACGACAGGTAGAGGTTATCAGGTTTAATTGGATTCATTTAAGGTGAGTCCC